GGATCGCGCCGCATCGCCGAGGCATCGCCGATGCGGCTCGATGCGCAGCCCGAAACTGCTTCACGTCGACGCCGCGGTTTCATCGCCGACGTCGACGATTCGTCGCTGGTGCGTCCCCGATGCGTCGCCGATGCATCGGCGATGTTGGCGCGATCCTCCGACCACGTCTGCTCCGACCCCATCTGGGAGGCCTCTACGGCTCTTCCTCGGCGGAGGGCGGCAGGAGGTCGGCGGAAGGCGGCGGAAATACAAGCATGGCCAGAGCCGAGTATCCAGAGGAGGAAAAACGTGTCCGTACCGCTACCCCTCGCCTCGCTTTCGCCTTCCTGGGCCTCCTTGGGAGGCCCTCGTCGCCACCGTTGGATTCGCGTCGAGATTCTGGTCAGAACGCATCCCAGGAGAGGTCCGGAGGGCAGCGGTATGGGCACCTTTTTCGTGCTTTCCCCTAAGTATCCCCAAGCAAAGTCTTAGGGCCAGGGTGGGTCCTGAGGGTGTTCGCGCGCCCCCAGGGAAGTCTCTGCTGCCCCCTCGGCCAGAGCTCGCTTCGACCACAACAGAGCCCCTTCAGTGAGCTGTGCTGTTTGGGGAACGCGGGAGGCTCTGCCGGCGAACGCCGGCGGAAGCTCGGCCCACGCCAGGAGAAGTACAAGATTCGGCTACACTTTTTGATTCGCGGGTCGAGAGCGCACCTCTTCCGGTCGAAGCTAAGCGGGCCGCGCGAAGCCTGAGTTAGGCAGAGCTGGGGGAGGAAAAGGGGGGCGCAGCCTCAGAACGAGGTTGGGAGGAGGCAAAGCCTCGGAATCAGGCGGTGCCGAAGCCGACGTAATTGCAAAGGAGCGCCACAAGATTCGGCTACACGCAAGAGTGACTCTTTGCCGGAGTGGCCCTTGGTGCGTGCCCAAGGGGGCCCCCCGATCGCGGAATGCAGTGCGACGGCAGCGCCCTGCGCGCCCGGGTGGTGTCCACAGAGGGCCCCCCCTTGCTGGCCGCGCACTGAAGGCCACTCTTGCCCAGGGCCACCTCTTGCGCGTAGCCGAAAGATGCACCCTCCAGAAATTTTGGGGGCACAGGACTTCCAGATCCCGCCAGCTGGCTCGCTTCGCCCTTCCGAGTCGCCTCTTTGCCCAGGCACCGCCCGGCCTTCCCGTCGGGTTGTGCTGGTCCAGTCTGGCCCCCTCGCCCCTTGTGCAGCAGGCGGGCCGAGCACTGCAGACGACATCGAGGGATCGAGGTCCGCGCTTCCGAGGCCGCAGCCTCCAGCGAATGACGACACGCTCGCGCCTCCGAGGCAGCAGTGTTCAGTCGTGTACTTGGCTTTCGCGCTCCCCAGGCCACACTCCGGAGTGAATTGCAGCACGCTCGCGTCCCCGAAGCTCTCGCAACTCGCGGCGCGTTCGCGCTCCCGAGAGCAGGCCCCCTCGCGAATTACCACGCGTTCCCGAGGCCACAACCCCTGGGAACTGTCAACAGATTCGCGAGCCCCAGGCCACAATCCCTTATGCATAACAATGCAGTCGCGCCCCGAGGCTACACTCCCTCATAACTTGCGCCGGGTTCGGTTACAACTTGCTGCACATTTGGAAGAATCGGCGCTCCCGAGGCCAAGAGCCCACCCCACGCAGGCTGCCCCCCCAAGGCGCCACCCCGTTCCCACGGCAGCAAAAACTAGCATTTGGTGCACTGGGATTCGTGTGTTCGAGGAGCGCCTTTCGGCCCCCGCACGTCCCCAGCGTGCGTCCCTGGACCCGCGGCCACGGGTCTTCGAACACAGCCGAGGGTGCGCGCTCCCCGGGCCGCGAACCCTGCACACCACAGTGGCGGCGCGCTCCCGAGGCCACCATCCCCCATGCGTTGCGGCAGGCGCGCAGCCAGCCAGCCAACCAGCAAACCGCCCAGATCGAGTGTCAACCAATACCTTGGCATCGCTTGGGCGTGTGCGTTTTTTTCTCGGCGGAGCCCATCGAGGAACATCCTGGATCATCTGGCAAAACACAGACGCACGAGATCGACAAATGCACAGGGAATGGACGTCCGAGCGATGGCGAGAGACCTTAGACAGCGAGCCACTTAGCCGAGTTGCCGGCCAGCCAACAGATCAGAAACCCGACCGAGCAATTGACCAAGCGTGACCATGCAAGCCATCTGAGCGGGGGGCTGGCGGCATAAGGCGAAGCCCTCGACGGCTCACTTCGGAAGGCTCCCAGGGTCCCCAAACTGGCTCAAGAGCATCCGACAGCCTCGAGTCCAGAACCTCGATCCTCGAACTTTGATCCTCGATTCTTCTCACTCTCCTCCTTCTCCTCCTCCTCCTCCTCCTTCGCCTCCGCCTCCTTTCCTGGGGCCCTGTCAAATCGATCCATCCCGGGTCATCCTGACATCTGTTCTCCTCCCGGATAGAAGGAAAACGCCTCTGGCGCTTGATTCTGTTCGACCCTCCCTGTTGCTGCTGCTGCTGCTGCTGCTCCTCCTCCTCCATTCCGCCCCTCCCTTCTGGGGGTGCGTTCTGGCCAGGCGTTCGAGGCACGTCCAGTCGGGGCCACACGAGGCCTCTCGGAGGCGAAACTAGAGGACTGAACGTGCTCCAGCTCCTCGACCCATCGACCCCTCCTCCCGCCTCTCGTGTCGGACGAGCGAGTACCCGCGCCCTCCGGCCGCCTGAGGCCCCGCCCGCCTGTGCTCTGTCTCCCCAGTTGGTGCTTTGCGCGGCCCGCCTAGCTCTTGACCGGAAGAGGCTCGCTCTCGACCCGCAGACCAAAAAATTGTGTCCTGTGTTTCGCGACCCACGCCTCCTGCATTCCTGCGGCAATGTGGCCCCCGGAAGGGTCTTATGTCCTCTCGCGTGTCCTCTCCAATCAAGTCCGATCCGACTGTACTCGTACGACGCATAGAGAGAACCAGCTGCATAACCATAGTCTTTGCGCGGAAGAGGCTCGCTCTCGACCCGCAGACCAGAAAGTCGGACGAGCGGGGGCCGCCGGGAGCAGGGGGGGGCTCCCTGCGGCACCCGCTGCACACATACCGCCGGCCTCGGCCCCGCCGCCGGGCGCCTCGCCTCGCTGGCGGCGGCTCTCCGGCGCCCGGGGGGGGGGGGGCGCTGGGAGGGCAGCTTCGCTCCAGCCGCCCCCCCCCCCCTTTTTTTGTTTTTTTTGTTTTTTCGGTTTCGCCCGGCCAATCCTCGATCTTCGCTCCCTCCTCCTCCTCCTCCTCTTCCTCCTCCTCTTCCTCCTCCTCCTCCTCCGGCGTGGATGGGGAGAACGAGGAGGAACCGGACGGGGGAGGCAGGCATGTAGAGATGGGGAAACGGGGGCTGAGGGGCCTCAGACCCAGGAGGCGGACGAGGAGCGAGGCGACGGGGAAGGGGGGGGGAGCTGGCGATGAAGACGAAGACTCCCTCCCCTTGCCGATTGCCCTCGCGGAGCTCGACTCCGCCGCGGGGGCCGCCTGCGTCGCCCTTCCTCCCTCCTCCGTTCTCCATCTCCTCTTCCCCCTACTCCCCCCTCCTCCTCCTCCTTCTTCTCCTCCTCCTTCTTCTCCTCCTCCTCCTCCTCCTCCTTCTCCTCCTCTTCCTCCTCTTTCACTCAAATAAGATGCTCTTTTGCCGTTTGGCTGAAGCGCCGCTGCGTACTATACTATGTTGTTGAGTTGTGAAACCTGCAGTCTACATCTTATTACCACAATGCTTTCTCTCGTCAAGCCTCCAATCCCTGCAATTCTAGTTGGTAGCGGAGCTGGACGTGATCCCAGCTCGGGATCCACGGAACGTGCGCAGCGTGCGATGTGGACGCGCATTTGCACTTCCCTTCGCCTCCGCATCGGTACCCCCTCCAATCCATGAGCAGCTTGTGCTTACGGCTGTTCTGCAAGTCTTCGGGAAATTCGCCCCAGACGCTAATATGGGTCTCGCTTTAGCGCCGCGCATAGTCTTTTTAAAGCTTGCAGCCATTTCATGGATTGAGGGCGGGTGGTTTTCAAAATGTGGTTATCGCCTTAGCGCCGCGCACATTCCGTTCGACAGTTTGCACCAGTTTCAAGGATGGAGGGCGGGCGGTTTTCAAAGTGTGGGTCTCGCCTTAGTGCCGAGCACATTCGCTTTGAAAGTTTGTAACTTTTTTAAGGATGGAAAGCGCATGGTTTTCCAAATGTGGCTCTCGCTTTAGCTCCGCGCACATTCGTTTTTGCAGTTCGCGGCCGTTTGAAGGATTCCTATGATCGGGGCCCCAGGCATTGTGTTCGGACATGATGACATGACTTACTATTGTCAGGACGCATGGCGTCGGGGTCCAGGAATGGTGTTCTGGCATTGTCCAGGATTGTCAGGACGCAACTGTCACGTTGATTCGCGGCGTTGACGTCCCAGGAGCGAAGTTTTGGCACGGTTGAGGGTTCTCAGACGCTTGTTTTCCGATGGGGCATTTCTCGCACTGAAAATTGATGGGCCTTTGAAGAGGGAGCTTGAAGGGATATGCGTCTTGAGTTTACACTGTTCCTTCCTTCTCTTCCTCCGCCCTCCCTCGCCCTCGCCCCCCCTCCCCTGCCGATCGTCCTCCTCCGAGCTCGGCTCCGCCGTGTGGGGGCGCCTGCGCGGAGGCGGACTCCTCCGACCTGGATCCGGGCGCTCTCCGGGCGGGCCGCAGCAGGCAGGCACGCCGCGGTGGGGGGGGCGGGGGGGCAGAGTGCCGCGGCCAGCGTCGAGGAGGACGGAATCGGACGCCAGAGCCGAGGGATGGCTGGGAGCGCGCGGGGCGAGGGGGGGAGGAGCAGGTGGGAGGGATCACGATGCTTATGATCATGACTGTGCTGCTGGTGATGATGCTGGTAGTTACTGATAAGGACGATGGCGTCAGCGGTGATGATGCTGCCAGTCATGAAGATGATGTGGAGGACGATTCTGCTGATGGCTGTGTTGGTGATGTTGATGGTGATGGTGATGATCAGGATGTTCATGCCGTCGACGACGATGGTGATGATGATGCCGATGACGGTGACGATGATGACGATATCTATGACGATACTGATGATGTTGATGCTGATGGCGATGCTTATGACGCTGATGATGATGGTGATGCTGCTGATGATGGTGATGCTGATGATGATGATGATGATGGTGATGCTATATTGATTACGATGATGATGCTGATGCTCATGCTGATGTTGAGGATGCTGATTCTAACCATGCGGATGATACTGATGATGATGGTGATGATGATAATAATGCTGCTGCTGCTGATGATGATGATGATGCTGATGCGGCTGGTGATGATGATGATGCAGCTGCTGCTGCTGGTCATGATGTTGTTAATGATTGTGATGCTGCTGATGCTGCTGATACTGATGATGCTGATGCTGCTGATGCTGATTATGCTGATGGCGAGTATGATGATGATGATGATGTTGCTGATGGTGAGGGTGATGATGCTGCTGATGATGATAATAATGATGATGATGATGATGATGATGATGATGATGATGATGGTGATGCTGATGATGATGGGTATGATGACGGTGATGATGACGATGATGATGGTGGTGATGATGATGCTGTGCTGCTGATGATGATGCTGATGAGGATGATGATGCTGATGCTGATGCTGATGATGTTGATCATGCTGACGATGCTGCTGCTGATGATGATGATGATGATGATGCTGATGATGAGGAGGATGATGATGATGATGATGATGATGATGATGATGATGATGATGATGATGATGATGATGATGATGATGATGACGACGATGATCCGGTACTGGCCTACGGGTCGGGCAGCGGGGCTCATCCACGCCGTGCTAAATTCCTATGCGCAGGCGCTGGGCCCCTCGAGGCCACCAGCCAGACGGGCGTTTACCCGCTACCGACCCTGCTTGCTGAGGCCAGGAGGGCCGACGGCAAGCATCCTCCGCAGAAACCCCGACGACCAGAGGACAACGGGCACGCGGCGGCGTGTCAGGGCCTCACGAAGCTTAGGCCAGCGCCGCCGTGAATTCCGAGCCGAATCCAGCCAACAAAGAGGGCGCCCGCAGGTTGCACGCATACAGACACACACACACACACTTACACACACACGCACTTACACACACACACTTACACACACACGCACACGCACACGCACACGCACACGCACACGCACACGCACACGCACACGCACACGCACACGCACACGCACACGCACACGCACACGCACACGTCCGTAGCCATTTTGGCTCAAGCCATTTTGGCTCAAGCCATTTTGGCTCAAGCCATTTTGGCTCAAGCCATTTTGGCTCAAGCCATTTTGGCTCAAGCCATTTTGGCTCAAGCCATTTTGGCTCAAGCCATTTTGGCTCAAGCCAGGCTTGCCAAGATGTCGCTGCGCATTTCATCTTTGCTCGGCATGGTCCCCCTCGTGTCCCCGCGATGCTGCCTGTGGGCTGCTGATGTGGCGCTATCCTTCTGCCTCTGCATCGCGGCTGGCTTCTCTTCGATCCCATATCGTCTTTTAATCATTGGTTTGCAACTTACGATTCATTCGTGTGCGGTGGCGGCTGCTGGACGGGAGTTTACTTCAACATGTGCTGCGATTATGTTTCTTCATGGTCTTATTCCTGCTCCCATCTTTCGCCTGGCTATGATGGTCAACTCGGCTGCTGGTGCCGCGAAACATTCACAGTGGTTCTGCTTCTTCCCATCGTTTTGCCGGCGCCGCAGGCGGCAGAGAGGTGGGCATGGTAAGTCGGTGGTGGACGTACCATCTTCTGAGCGCTCGGGGCCAGGGCCCGGCATTATTAGCATATTCGACGCCCTTTCTTGTGGGCAGGGTTTGCCACCAGCGGTATCCAAATTCAACCCTTTGGTCACTGAATTCGTCCCTCAGGATGCTTGCAACGCTAATGGCAACAATTCGTTTTTGTCTTGTACTGGTGATTGTGGCAAGATTGTGGCTCCTCGTTATAAGTTTGCACGCCCTTGTCGTGTTTTGGCTGAGCCTGGCCCAGGCCCCTGCGGCAAGCAAGGCACCCACTTCTTGGGATTCTGTTCGACGTGCAGGGGGCACTCCCATCTCATTACTGGGGACTCTTCTGTGCAACAGCTGATCGACGCTCAGAACAGCACGATTGCTTTGTTGATCCAGGAGCTGGAGCAGCTGAGGACGGTGGCCCTTCCTAATATCTCTTTTTCGGTGCTGCAGGCCTACGTGGATGACAAAACTGCTGCAGTGTCGGCGCAGGTCACCCAGCTGCAAGCTGAACTCGCCAGAGCGGTCGAGGCTTCGCTCAGCCGTCGGCTGCCGCCCAAGCTCGAGGAAATGAAGTCACACATTCTGGACGCTGCCAGCCTATCTTGGCAGTCTCCTCTGGACACTCTGAAGCAGGAGCTGTGCGACAGTTTCACGACTCATCAGCGATCTCTGGGCGACCAATGTCTGTCTGCTGTGAGTGCCGCTTCTGCGAAGATTCTAGACACAATGGAGAGGAAGGTCCAGGCTCTTGAGACCAAATTTGGGAATGTGGCGCCTCAAGTTCCCTGGAGTGACCGGGTCAAGGGCGATGGCCCCGTGTACCTTCCCGAGTGCCAGGGCGACCATTTCCAGGTGGGTGACTTGGTGCGCCCGCACAGCCTCGCTACGTCGGCTCTGAATGGGCTGGTGGGCTGCGTCCGTGGCTTCGTCGGAGAGAGGGTTCAGGTGGAGTTCTTAGGTATCGACGGCTGCAAGCTGATTAAACCAGCCTTCCTGGTCGCAGATTCGGCGGAGGAGCCGAGGACATGCGAGAACCCATGCGGCCAGGGAGGCTCGACATCTTCTTTGTCGTCTTCGACGGCTTCCTCTTCTACGACTTCTGAGCTGGCTGCTGCCGTGCTCCGACCCCGCTAAGATGAACAGACCCATTGAGTACGAGTGACACGCACACGCACACGCACACGCACACGCACACACGCACACGCACACACGCACACGCACACGCACACGCACACGCACACGCACACGCACACGCACACACGCACACGCACACACGCACACGCACACGCACACGCACACGCACACGCACACGCACACGCACACGCACACGCACACGCACACGCACACGCACACGCACACGCACACGCACACGCACACGCACACGCACACGCACACGCACACGCACACGCACACGCACACGCACACGCACACGCACACGCACACGCACACGCACACGCACACGCACACGCACACGCACACGCACACACGCACACACACGCACACACGCACACATGCACACACGCACACACGCACACACGCACACACGCACACACGCACACACGCACACACGCACACACGCACACACGCACACACACACATACACACATACACACGTACACACGTACACACATACACACACACATACACACACACACACACGGAAGGCCCGCACGCCCAGGCCCAAGGGCACCAAGGATGGGGGACGCCAGGGCCAGCGCGAGGCCCAGGCCGACACCGCGCAGAATGTCAAGCCGAGCTCAGCAAGGCGACGGCCTGCAGGACAGGGGAGGGGAGGAGGGTAGGAGGGCACACACGCACGCGCGGGGCACCGTGTGCACTGTGACCCGCACGCTCGGCGGCGGAATGCTTCATTGCGCGGAAGCGCCGCCTCGGCGGCGGCGGAGCCTTGCACGGGCTGCTCACCGCCGCGGCGAGCGGTCGCCGAGGGCGTCCGTCCTCGTCCGTCCTCAGCGGCGCGGGCCTGCCGCCGCCCAGCACGGCGGCCTCGCGCCAGTGGTGGGGCGCATCCCCTGCAGCATGCGGCGCAGCGTGGCCGCGTGGCGGGCGTCGGCCCCCTCCACGCAGCGGACGCGGAGGCCCACGACCCGCGGCCCGCCAGCGTAGCACCCGCACGCCGCGCAGTACACGAGCCGCCGCGCAGCCGCGCCGATCACCCACAAGCGGTGGGTCGGGTTGAACGGCACGTTCCATCATCGAGGGCGCGCGGCGGCGGGGCGATCCGCAAGAGGGGTTGGCGGAGCTGCCGCCAGGCCTGCGAGGGCCGCCGCTGGAGCCCCTGCTGGAGCCGCACGGGCGGCCTCCGCGCCACCCCTGGGCAAGTCTAACATTTTCGGGAAAATCCTTGGATTTCCTTGTCGGTGCTCCAGCGCCCAGTGCGCGGGAGGCTGTCGCGGCCGCGGTGCTGCGGTTGCCGCTGCGCCGCCCGCGGGGCCAGGCGGGCCCTCAGCTCCCGCCGTCGCGTTGCCCTCCTCCGCGCCGCCATCGGCGCCCTGGGCCTCGCCGTGTGCCTGGGCAGCGAGCGCGGCGGCTAGCGCCGTTGCGGCGGGGGCTCTGGTAGCCTCTGCTCCGCGGCGGCTCGCGCTCGATTCGGCTCGCGCGCGGCCGCGCTGTGCAGCAGCGTCTTGGCCTGCAGCACCGGGTTTCCGAGCCACCGCCCCCCCTGCGCAGGGCTGGTTCCGCAGCGGGGGGGAGCGGCGCCCCAAAGCCGCTGTCGTGAGCAGGGTGTGCCGCTGCCGTCGCTCGGCGCCGCGGCCGAGGGCCTGCCAGGGACGGGCGTGCCGCTCGAGCGGTCCGCGCAGGCGTCGCAGAGCCAGCGCGTTGCGCCCGCCTCCGCGACCGCAGTGCCGTGGGCGCCGCAGGGCCAGCGTCTGCAGTCGAGGCCGCCACCGCGGCAGCGCGCGATCCCCGGCCGCCCGCAGCCGCGCCCGCAGCCGCGCCAGCAGCAGGTGGGTTTCGCCCCGCGCCGTCGGCTGCCGTGAGGGCGGCGTGGCCGAGCTGCAGCGCCTCGCCGAGCCAGCGTGCCGTCGACACCGCGATCTGTTGGGCAGCGAAGCGCGCGACGCCGCCGCCTCGCTCGTGGGGTGGAGCGCAGCGCCCCGCTTGGCAAAGCCGTCGGCGGCTCTGTTGCCCTCGTAGTCGTCGAGGCTGGTGCTGCCGTCTCGCACGGAGCGGAGGGTGGCGTACCCCTTGACTTTGGCGATGCGCGCGTGCTTGAGGCCGCCGATGTCGTCCACGGCCTGCCAGAGCTCGCGCCACACCTCCATGTACGGGCGGTCCCAGGCGCAGCACCATGCCCAGCCCAGCGGAGCCCGCCACCAGGAGCTCGCAGTCATACGGATGATGAGGATGACGCTGCTGCTGCTGCTGCTGCTTCTGCTGGTGCTTCTGCTGCTGATGATGCTGCTGCTGATGATGATGATGCTGATGATGGTGATGATGAGGGGGATGGTGATGATGATGCTGCTGATGGTGATGATCATGCTGATGTTGCTGATGATGCTGACGATGCTGCTGATGATGATGATGGTGATGCTGATGCTGATGCTAGTGATGATGATGCTCACGACTATGCTGACGAGGATGGTGAGGATGCTGCTGCTGCTGATGATGACTATTCTGAAGATGGCGACCTCGACGACGACGACGATGCTGCGGATGGTAATTATGATGGTAATGATGATGTTGATGATGATGAGGATGATGATGATGATGAGTATGATTATGATGAGGGTCAGCATCATGCTGCTGACGATGATGGTGGTGATGATATTGCCGATGATGATGCTGATGATGATGATGATGATGTTGATGCTGATGCTGCTGATGATGATGCTGATGCTGATGCTGCTAATGGTGCTGATGGCGATGGTAATACTAGTAATAATATGGTTGTTGTTGATGATGATGATGATGATGATGATGATGATGATGATGCTTATACTGATGATGAACATGAAGATGCTGCTGCTGGTGATGATGCTGATGATGATGCGGATGATGATGGTGATGGTGATGGTGGTGATGATGATGCATCTGATGGTGATGACGACGAATCATAAGGAGCTGATGCCGATGGCGACGGGATAATGACGATGATGGTTATGACGCTGACGGGGATGAGGAGGAGGAGGAGGTTAATCAGGAGGAGGAGGTGGACCAGGAGGATGAGGAGGAAGAAGAGGAGAGGAAGGAGTAGATGGAAGATGAACAGAAGGAGGAGGACATTGGGATGATGATGATGATGATGATGATGATGCTGATCTGATTCTGACGATGGTGATGTTGATCAGGATGTTGATGATGAGGCTGCTGGTAATAATTATGATGATGGTGATGATGACTATGATGGTGATGATGATGATGATGATGATGATGATGATGATGATGATGATGCTGACGATGATAATGATGGTGGTGGTGGTGGTTATGATGATGGTTATTCTGACGACGATTGCTGCTTCTGAAGATGAGGTTGCTGATGCTGCTGCCGATAATGATGTGGATGCTGATGATCATGATGACGCTGATGACGCCGATGATGATGATGATGATGATGATGATGATGATGACGATGATGATGTTGATGATGATGATGATGTTGATGATGATGATGATGATGATGATGATGATGATGATGATGATGGTGATGACAATGCTGCTGATAATGATGATTCTGATGGTGAAGGTGATGATAATGGCTAGGATTATGTGGAGGCGAAGTCATTTGAATTGTGGATGCGATCGCGGGGGAAAGTGATACTGTGGTTTCAGAGACAGCGGCAGAGAATGGTCATGCTGTCAACTTGTTTCAACTTCGGCCCACTTGGCGTTTGAGACGTCGTAGGTGGTGGAGCCGAGGCGAACTTTCGGCATCACGTTTGTGGCACATTGGAATTTGCGAGCGGATGCGTCATTCCGTCTCATGGGGACCTCCCGATCGAGGTTGAACCGGCCAGACTTGTGCAGCGCCTTTGGGTCTTTGGACGCCCTTCCTGATCACACTATCTGGCCCAGTCGTGATCCCCCGCCTTTGTTCGCTACCGGGCAACCACTGCCTCCCTGCCATGTCCCCACCACCACCACTCATCGCCTTTCCCTGCCACTAGAGGCTTCTGCAGGCTTTGAGGGTGTCCAACCTGGGCAGACACCCCGGCCCCTCGATCCTCGACCCTCGGACCTCCCTGGTCCCCCCTCCGCCGCCGAGCCACTTTTGCCCCTTTCCCCGCCGCGTGGACCCCTTTCTGCATGTGGTGCCTCCCCTCCTCCGCCCCTCCTCAACCCGCATCTCGTCTCGCCTCGTGCCTCCCTCTCTCTTTTTTTGTACGCAACTGGACGAAGAGGAGGAGAAGGAGGAGGGGGGAGGAGGAGCTGGGGCAAGTACCCTTTTTGCCCACTTGGCACGCCCACCCCTTCCAACTCTCCGCCAGTTCGTCGGGTGTTTGTCCCTCGCCTTGTTGCTCTCCCCATGCGCCACATCCACAGAGCAGAGGTCCGTGATGCACTCGGAGTCCGTTATCTCTCGCAAGGACGCCCACCCAGTGCATGAGGACGATTGACCATGATGATGATGTCGCCGATGCCGATGGTGAGGGTGAGGATGTGTGCCATGATGATGATGATGATGCTGCTGATGATGATGCTGCTGATGCTGTTGATGACGATGAGGATGATGGTGCCGATGCTGATGCTGATACGGATGATTATGCCGATGATGCTGATGATGGTGATGCTGATGATGCAGATGATGCTGAAGATGTTGCTGAGTGTAATGAGGGTTCTGCTGATGATGCTGATGCTGCTGCTGCTGATGATGATGATGATGATGATGATGATGATGATGATGATGATGATGATGATCATGATGATGATGATGATGATGATGATGATGATGATGATGATGATGATGATGATGATGATGACGATGACGTTGACGACGTTGCTGATAACGCTGGTGACTATGCTGGTTGTGGTGATGATGATGGTGGTTGCGGTTATGAAGAAACGTGGTGTGTTGGCGATGCAGCTAATGATTATGGCGATGATGGCGCTGCTGATGATTGCAGTGATGCCTGTAATGATGGTGATTCGTTGTGTTTGTGATACTTAGGAGCATGCTGGTGACGAGGAGGATGCTGATGACGATGCTACTGATGCTGATGACCATGACGACATGCTGATGACAGGATGACGCGTAGGAGTATGAACATGGTCAAGGTGCCGATGACGATCATGCCTATGCTGCTGCTGGCGGTGGGGATGATGAGGCGGATGATGTGTACCTGCAAGACACTGTTGATGATACGGATGACGCGGATGCTGATGGCGATTCCGATGATGAGGAGGAGGATGGGGAGGAGGAGGAGGAGGAGGAGGAGGAGGAGGAGGATGGTGAGGAGGAGGAATATCATACTCGGAGTACCATTCGCAGGGAGTCTGTGAACGACTGGATCAACGGTATGACTGGAGTGCCTCGCAGACAACACGAAACAACAGTGTGCTGCTCCTGAGCATGCCTCTGCTGTCGATTAGTATCCCCAGACCAATGCGATGATGAGGAGGATGAGGCGGGGGATGAGGATGATAACGCTGCTGCTGCTGCTGCTGCTGCTGCTGACGACGACGGCGACGACGACCCCACAGGTCGAATTTGCACGACCACGCCCGCCTTGCTTTTCCCAAGACCTTGACGGCCCAGGGAACGGGAGGAGAAGGATGATGAGGAGGAGGGGGAGGAGGAGGAGATGGAGGGTGGGGAGGGGGAGGGGGAGGAGGAGGGGGAGGATGAGGAGGATGAGGAGGAGGAGGAGGAGGAGGAGGAGAGGAGGAGGAGGAGGAGGAGGAGGAGGAGGAGGAGGAGGAGGAGGAGGAGGAGGAGGAGGAGGAGGAGGAGGAGGAGCAGGAGGAGGAGGAAAAAGAGGAGGAGTAGGAGGAGAGCACGACCCCTTGCAGCTAGTTTGCGAGCACAATGAGCACACGGTGCAGAGGGCAGGTGCTGAAGGGCGGGTGGGTTGGGGGGGTGGGTTTAGGGGGGTGTGAGGGGGGGGCGGCGGGTGGGTACAGACGCGCTGGATGCGGCGCCCCTGGTTTCTGAATCTGCGGTCTTGTCCCTCCCGTGCAAGACTGGCCAGCCAGGACGGCACAATTCAGCCACCCGCTCTTGATTATGGGGAGGGGGTGGTGGGGGGAGGTTGGTCTGATGCAGAAGCTGTGATGTCTATTGGACGTCTCGGCTGCGTGTACTCGGGGGGGCTTGCCCCAGCCCTCCCCCCCAGAATAAAGCGAGGAGGGAAAAAACTCTGCAAGAGGAGGAGGGAGGAGGAGGAGGAGGAGGAGGAGAGGAAGAGGAGGAGGTGAGGAGGCGGAGGAGGAGGAGGAGGAGGAGGAGGAGGAGGAGGAGAGGAGGACGAGGAGGAGGGAAAGTAGACGGAGGAGTTGGAACGAGGAGGAGGAGGAGGAGAAGGAGGAGGAGGAGGAGGAGAAAGTAGGGAAAGTGTGAGGAGGAGCAAAATACGGAGCAGGAGGAGGATGAGGAGGGAGGCGGTTGATGTCTGAGGACGAGGAGGAGGTGGAGAAGGAAGAGGAACAATACGGAGTTGGAGGGGGGTGGGGGGGTGGGGGCGGGGGGATGGAGGGAGGAGCAGAAACCTGTACCGGGCGCGCCGCAGGACAGCCTCCTCTCGGACCTTCCCACGTGGTCCCAGCAGCATAGCAGCTCCACGCAGGACCCGTCGGGTGAGGGCCGCGGGCGCGAGAGCCCGGGGGCTCCCGCAGCCCCAGCCCAGACCTCTGGCGACCTGGTGGTCTGGGGAGGAGGAGGAGGAGGAGCAGGAGAACGACCAGTGCAAACCTAAGAGTCACCAACGATGTTGGAATTCACCCTCCCTCCAAGCTCCCTCTCCATAGGCCCCTACAAGGATTCATGTTCACTCAGGGAATTGCGCCATTCGGGGACAACCGTATGAAAATCCTGAAGCGTGCCATAACACCAGTCTCAGGATTAAACGCCACAGGTTAACCAGACTGTGACGTCTTTGCTCTTGGCGATACTGAGTGGTACCAGAACGTCATCCCTGGGACTTCAGCACCGTGAATCAGCGTAAGTGTTGCGCCCTGGCATCCCGAATCGCTCCAAAACGCCATTTCTGGTATGTCGACCATGAGAACCAATGAAACTCTTACAAATGTTTGAATCGAATGTGCGCGGCGCTCAGGCCAGAGACACAGCTTGAAAATGAACCGCCCTTAGTCCGTGAAGCTTTTGCAAGTTTGCCTTTATACAAAGAGAACCTGCGCGGCGCTAAAGCGAGAGCAACATTTCGAAAACCACCCGCCCTCAATCCGTGAAGCTTGCAGATTCTCAAAACAATTGTGCGCGGCGCGATGGCGAGAGCCACATTTTGAAATCAACCCGCCCTCAATCTGTGAAGCCCTTTCAAATTCTTGCAACGAGTGTGCGCGGAGCTAAGGCGAGAGCCGCGTTTTGAAAACGACTCGTCCTCCATTCGTGAAACTGCTGCAAGGTTCAAGCTTCAGGTTCAGAAGTGGTGAGGAAATCTCAAGCGAAACGCCTGGCCCGCCCTTTCGACCGGCCTCGGGATGCGACAGAGAGAAGATATTTACAACAAAAAGAAAAGGAGGAGGAGGAGAAGGAGGATGCTGATGCTGATGCTGATGCTGATGCTGCTGCTAATGCCGATGACGAACGATGACGATGACGATCACGATTATGAAGACGATGATGATGCTGCCAATGACGATGACGACGATAATGATGATGATGCGGATACTGATGATAATGGTGATGATGATGCCGATGGTGATTGATGCCGATGATGAAGGTGATGCTGCTGCTCATGATGATGACGATACCGATGACGATGAACATGCTGATGATGACGGTGATGTTGAAGACGATGACGATGATGCTGATACTGATGATGATGACGATAATGATGGTGACGATGATGTTGATGATCAGGATGATGATGATTATGCTGATGATGATGCTGCTGATGATGATGACGGCGATGTTGATGAACTGCATGATGCTGGTAATGACGATGATGAGGATAGTGACGCTGCTGCTGATGATGATGATGTTGACGATGATGATGCTGATGAAGCTGATGATGATGATGATGATGATGATGATGATGATGATGATGATGATGATGACGCTTTGGAGTTTGACGATACTGATGACGGTGATGATGAGGATGATGATGATGATGCTGCTGCTGATGATTAGGATGATGATTATGCTGCTGACGAGGATGATGATGCTGCTGCTGATGATGGCGATACTGATGGTAATGGTGATGGTGATGGTGATGGTGATGATGATGATGATGATGATGATGATGATGATGATGATGATGATGATGATGATGATGATGATGATGATGATGATGATGATGATGATGATGATGATGATGATGATGATGATGATGATGATGATGATGATGATGATGATGATGATGATGATGATGATGATGATGATGATGATGATGATGATGATGATGGTGATTGTGATGCTGGTGGTGATGGCGATGATCATGGTGGTTGTGGTGGTGGTGGTGGTGATGATGAGGAGGAGGAGAAGGAGGAGGAGGAGAAGGAGAAGGAGGAGGAGGGGGGGGAGAACAGGAGGAGAGGAAGGAAGAGGAGTAGGAGGAGGAGAAGGAGGAGGAGGAGGAGGAGGAGGAGGAGGAGGACAAGGAAAACGAGGAGGACAACGACGACTGCGAGGGGCCGCGAGCGCGAGAGCCCTGGATGCCTGCAGACCCAGACCTCGTTGTCGTCGTCGTCTTCGTCGTCGTGCTCGTCACCGTCGTCGTGGTGGTGGTGGTGGTGGTAGTCGTCGTCGTCGTCGTCGTCGTCGTCGTCGTCGTCGTAGCCGTCGTCGTCTACGTCGCGGTCTTCGTCCATGTCAGAGTCGTCCACAAGGTCGTCGTGTTCCTCCACTTCGTAGTCGTGCACGTCCTCGTCCTCGTCCTCGTCCTTGTTGTCGTCGTTGTCGTCGTCGTCGTCGTCGTCGTCGTCGTCGCCGGCGTCGTCGTCCGTCGGCGTCGGCCTCAGCGTCGGCGTCGGCGTCGGCGTCGGCGTCGGCGTCGTCGTCGTCGTGGTCGTCGTCGTCGTCGTCGTCGTCGTCGTCGTCGTCGTCGTCGTCGTCGTCGTCACCTTCTTCCTCCCCAACCTTTGCCGGCTCGTCCAAACCTTGTCAGATGTTGTCCGCTTTTCTAGGCCTCCACGTCCCTGGGGCCGTCAGCAAACAATTCTGGATGTAAACGGGCCCAGGGAAGGGTCGACAGCCCTGAGGCCAGCGTAGTCGGAAGTCTTGGGGGGGGGTCGGAGATTCCCAGAAGGTTGCAGAGGCCTGGACGGAGTGTGTCGTGAAAGATGGCGACGTGTGTTTCCTGGCTGTTTCGGGCTCCAGGGCCTTCGCAGGAAGCCCGGATAATGTACAAAAAGGGCCCCAAGGAATGCCCAAGAGGGTCACCTGCCCCCAGACCTACATACGAGAGCCCCGGGAGGACCCCAGGGGGTGCTCAAGAGGGCTCAGCTATGACCTCAACCTTTCCACCGAAGTGTTCGGGCACACGTGTAACGAGGCCCAAGACATGGCCCACGAGGCGAGCTGAGTGGAAGATCTGCTTCCGCGCCTGATACTTGTCTTCGCTGGGGGGCACGAATGCGGAAGGACTCGATGGGCCATTCGAGTCCTTCCGCTTCCTCCTGCTCTTCCTCCTTCTCCTCCTCCTCCCTGTCCTCTTCCCTCCCAACCCTTACCTTTCTTCTCGCAAGGCAAGCAAAGGGCTGTGTGCGGGCATGACTTTCCCCGCTATTTCCTCCTTCTTCCAGTGCCGTCTGCGCTCTGAGCGTCGTCTCGTGTGGTGCTCCTGGCCTGTCCGGCGGTCTTCCGGCTCCCGTCGTGGCGCCACTTGTGCGCCGGTCCGTCTCGTGAGGGGGGGGGGGGAAGACGTCTCTCAACCTTTCCTGGCCTGTGAAGGGGCTCAGAACCTCCCCCGCTCTCCCGCATCGCCTCCCTCCCTCTCCGCCCGGCGGAGATGGTGCAGGGCTGCGCCCGCCGGCCTCGGCCCGCGGGTGCAGGGGGCGCACCGCGCGGGATGCCTGCGCCCTCGGGGCTGGATGCGGAGCCTTTCTGTAGTTTTGGTGTCCCTCTGGTGTCCACCTCCGCCCTCTGCCGACGCCGACTGGAGCGCGAGGCTGCGCTGACGACACGTGCACGCAGGGAAGGGAGACGAGGAAGAGAGAGGCAACAGAAGCAGAGATGTGGTCTGTCCTTACCTTGGGGTGAAGGCTGGGAGCGAAGGTCCCCCCATCAGTGATGACTGTTATACGGATCAGAAGGAGCCTGACACTAGGCCAACGCATCATCAACCTCAGTGCCGCATCGCTATTCCTCATTGTGGTCGTCCTCCGCCTCCGCTTTAACCCTCTCCGCGGCACCGGACCAATCGAGGAAATCGTCAAGAATCCTCCCCCGGTGGATGGTTGGATGGGTCGTAGCAGTGGTGCAAGCCTTTGAGATAGATGGCACAGTTCAGAGTGGGCCAACGTCGCGGCTGTCGCGGTGCTCGCTCCAGCGTTGGAACCAGAATGACGCATCACATGTGCTGACACCGCTTCGCTGTGCAGCTGGTGGCCGAGGGGAAGGGTGCACTTCGCTGGTAAGCGGGTGCATGTAGCATTCGAACTCACAATGCCGACACCGCGGCAATGGGCTTGTCCGCGCACTGTTGCGAAGCATCGTTAGATGTTGTCGTTCGAAGGCCTGGTCGGCGCCGGTCGGCAGATGATGCAGTCAAAACGATGGCATTCGCGAGAGGCATGCATCATTGTGACAATGTGCAAGTTGTTTGATCTTGTTTTTGGCATGAGTTTCGAGGATGTCTTAAGCGGAAGTTCAATTTTGAAGATGAGCCGCACACCGTGCGTGTTTTCGTGATGTTTACTTGAGGAGGACACAAGCAGGAGCCCCCATTTGAGAACCATTCCCCTCCATCCATGTATTTGTTGCAAGCTTTGGCGACGAATGTGTGCGGCGCTAGAGGCGAGAGCTCCATTTCGAAAACGGTTCCCCCCATCTTTGTAACCGGTGCAAATTTTTAAGGCGAATGTGCGCGGTGTTTAGGCGAGAGCTTCATTTCGAGAGCAGCCATCCCTCCATCCGTGTAGCTGTTGTTCGCCTCAAACCTCGGGATCCTACGCTGTGAGAGGAAGTCCACCGGCGCGCCCTGCCGACACGTCCGGAGGTGTGACAAGGGGGCACTGTTTATACTCGAAGGAGGGGTGGAGGGGGAGGGAGGGAGGGAGGGAGGGGGAGGGAGGGAGGGAGGAGGGAGGGAGGAGGGAGGGGAGGGAGGGAGGAGGAGGGAGGGAGGGAGGAGGAGGGAGGGAGTGAGGGAGGGAGGAGGGAGGGAGGGAGGATCCCTGGAGCTGTGGAGCGGACCGCGCGGGCCGCGGGGGCGCCCGACGGGCCGCGCGGGGGGTCGCGCGGCGGCGCCCCCCCGCGTGCGCGCAGCGCCCCCGCCCGAGCCTGGCGGAAGGCGCCGGCGAAGTGCACGGGGCCGTCGAGCGACGGCACCCCTCCCCCTCCTCCTCCTCCTCCTCCTCTCCCCTCCCCTCCTCCTCCTCTCCTCCTCCTCCTCCTCCTCCTCCTCCTCCCCCTCCTCCTCCTCCTCCTCCTCCTCCTCCTCCTCCTCCTCCTCCTCCTCCTCCTCCTCCTCCTCCTCCTCCTCCTCCTCCCTCCACCCTCCTCCCCTCCTCCTCTCCTCCTCCTCCTCCTCCTCCTCCTCCTCCTCCATGACCACACGGGCACCCCCGGATCGCCTCCCTCACAGGTCCAGGACTTGTCAGCACGCCACAGCTGCTGGCAAGCGTGCGGGGCGGCAGGACCTGTGCCCCTTCGTCACGCTGCCCACGCGAGGTGGGCGAGCTCCTTCCTCCTTGGGGCCGCAGTCGGGAGGCTGCGATGGCACCGCGCCAGACGAGCCGCCCGACCTCGCGGCGAGCACGGCGACGGCACTGCACTCGCCGAACCGCCCGCCCTTTCGGCCGCCGAGCGGCCCCGTGCCCAGGGACCGGCCGTCTCGTCGGACTTCAGGTCGAGCGCTGGCGTTAAGTCGGCCTGTCTCTCTACAGGGTGAATATTCAAAAATCGTGAAAACATAGTCTGGGGACTATTTTTGGAGTATTCTTGGGCATCTTTTGCATATTTGTTATGTATCTTTTATTTTTCGTCCAAAATCCTCCTGTAGGGGGACATGCCCGACCTAACGCTGGCAGGAGAACGCGAGAGCAGCCAGTCCGAACCCCACGACCGCCAGCGCGTCGTGGCTGCGCCAATCCCGCCGCCACGGCCGCCGAGGCCATGGGCCTCCGTCAGCTTCATGCTCTCGATGTCGACTCGCAGACGATGGCTTCCTTCTGGACTTCGAGCGGGACCACGCGTGGCCCCGCGAGCCCTGCCCGTCGTCCAGCAGCTCGGCACTGCCCGCCGCCGCGGCCGCGGCCCCGTCGGAGGGGAGGGCAGTGCATCCCCTGCGGGGGGCACTGGGCCGCTGGCCTCCTGGGCCTCCGCGAGCTCCACCCCGCCAGAGGTGCCCCCCACCGCTGCGCCCCGCGCCGCGCGGTGCCGCAGCACCGCCACGGGCGGCCTCGGCGGCACCCGCCGGGAGGCGAGCAGGGCGACAGGCAGCGCCCGACCGCGCACCGCCGGATGCGTCCCTGCCTCGGCATCTCCCGGACGTGCGCGCACCTTTCCCGCGGCGAGGGCCACGGAGGAGCGTCTTGGACCATCCTGCGGCACACGCGCAAGCGCACCGACGACGCCAACTGCACGCGGAAGGGGCGTCCGAGCGATGGCGAGCCCCGCCGCCCTCGCCCGTCCGCTCAGCGCGCCTCGGGGGGCCCACGGGGCGGCGGACGGGGCCGCCGCGGGAGCCCCCTCCACGGCCGCTTCCCCGGCATGCTGCCCGCGCCCGGCGATGCCGCCGCAGTCGTTGCACAGGGCCGGCGGTATCCATCAGGCGTTGCGTACACGTCGGGGGCGATGCAAGGGGGGGGGATGCAGTCAACCCGAATAGTGAGGATGGGCAACCTTCCCGAGGGTACCGTTGCATCCTTGCCTCCTCGGTCCATCCTTCGCCACTTTCGTCGGCCGCGCCCCGCTCGAAAAGCTTCGAAATGGGCGTCCAAGGCCCTTGCATCCTTATCGCGCATCCTTACTATACAGGTTGACTGTAAGAAAGGTGCACATTTACAGCACCTCAGGGGCGGTAAAGGGGGCCCCTTGGGCTCAGGAGGGGCACGAGAGGTGCTCGTTTCTTCACCCCCCACCCTTTTCAGCGGCACGCTCCCGACTCGGGGTCCCCTTGGGCCATCTTGTGAGTCTCTGGGGCCCTCTTGGCCCGTCTTGGGGCCCTCTCGGGCCCCAACAGGTAACGCGGAGAGATGTGGGAAGCCGCTGCGAAGCCGCGGCAAGCCGCGGGAGATTTGGCAACCTGGGCTCCGGGCCCCCTGACGACTCCTCAGGATTGGGGACTGTGGCGCAAGGACATGTGGGCACGCCCACTCCGTGCCCAGAGGCACGGGGCCCAGGAGCGGTGTGTATGCCTCCCTGGCTTGGGCAGGGCGGAGGAGGACGAGGAGGAGGAGGAGGAAGAGGAGGAGGAGGAGGAGGGGAAGGAGGAGGAGGAGGAGGAGGAGGAGGAGGAGGAGGAGGAGGAGGAGGAGGAGGAGGAGGAGGAGGAGGAGGAGGGAGCAGGAGGAGGAGGAGGAGGAGGAGGAGGAGGAGGAGGAGGAGGAGGGCGCTGCGGCCTGCACGGGCCAGGCCTGGGGCAGTCGACGCGTATAGATCCCGCCCTACGCTCGTCCGCACGGCGAGCGGCCTCCTGCACGGCGACGTGCGGCCCGGCCGGCTGCGGCGGCGGCCCCCTTGGCCGCATCTGGGGCGTGCGGCTGGCGTGCCACGCGCACGCTGCCGATGGCCAGCAGCTGCTCGGCCCGCGACGGCCAGGAGTCGACGAAGAAACACCAGCCTAAACAGAACCTTTTCGCCTTCCGCGCGGATCTCTTGCGCCGCCCCTGGCGCGCGGAGCGCGCCAGGTAGGGGGGTCCAGCGCAGATCCAAGAACTCCGTGCGGAGCGCCAAAAGCTTATGTTCATGCCCTTTTTTATTCTTCCGGAGACGGCCTGCTGGGGGGTGGTGGCAGCCGGCCGCATCCCCTGGGCGCCCGCGGGCTTCGGGCGAGGCCTGCAAACGCTTCATCCGATGGGCCCACGCGCTCGCCCTTGGCGGCCCCAGCTCGCGGCGCCGATCGCGTCGCGCCAAGGCCCCGCCGCGGAGCGCGCACCGTGCGAGGGCCTCCCGTGAGCTGGCTGCTCCCTGGAGCCCAAATGGCTGTGGCCAGGAGGGAGAGAGGGAGGGAGCGAGGGAGGGGGAGGAGGATGAGGAGGAGGATACTGGTGAGTAGTATTAGTATTAGTATTAGTAGTAGCAGGTAGTAGTAGTAGTAGTAGTAGTAGTAGTAGTAGTAGTAGTAGTAGTAGTAGTAGTAGTAGTAGTAGTAGTAGTAGTCGTCGTAGTCGTAGTCGTAGTCGTGTCGTAGTCGTAGTCGCAGTCGTAGTAGTAGTAGTAGTAGTAGTAGTAGTAGTAGTAGTAGTAGTAGTAGTAGTAGTAGTAGTAATAGTAGTAGTAGTAGTAGCAGTAGTAGTAGTAGTAGTAGTAGTAGTAGTAGTAG